ATGCGTTACGGTGGGCCAGAACGGCGTTTGATAGTTCCAAGCAGTGCCCGTGAGTTGGGTAATTTTTTGTCGGCCTGTCAGGTGCTGACATAGATAAATAAGGATCTGAAGGCTTACCAGAATGGGTTACAGTATGCCAAGCCTGAATCAAGCTCTTGGGCTCCAACTCCTGAAGTTCACTTATTAGCACCTTACTGCAGCGGGCTAATGGCATACTACTTGGTGGCCAGCGCGGATTGAGTGCAGGGGGTAGTATATAAATTGGGTGTCGATGTAAAAGCGATACCGACGACGACCTTCGCTTATGCAGTCGTGTTGGTGTTATCTTTTTTCATCGGAAACTCAGCATCGGCGCAACCTTGTCCGCCGCCGCGCCTCTCAGCGCTACCTCTCGCTGGCACGTCGTTAACACTGTGCACACTTGGAATTAATCGCTGTTGCGAGATCGCTATCGTCCATGATGTGAAGCGCGAAACGCGTAAGTTCTGTACGTTCATACATACGTACGGTGTAATCATTAGTGGTTCCACATTTGTCGTGTATGAGCTCGAAATTCACAAGGCGTCGATCGTTGCCAGGTCTCGGCTAGTCGACTTGTATAGGCTGAACACTCCTTTGGATGGAAGTCACTCTGAAGCAAATCCAACACCAGTACTTCGAGTTCATCCTCTCGAGTGAGTGAGTGAATTGAACATTGGTCAAGTTCATGGCTCACTCGAGGGAATGAACTTGAAGTACTGGTATTGGATTAGCCTCAGAGTAGCTTCCATTTATCTAGTGCCACGAATGGCGAAGGAACCCCCCGCTGCGAGTGCAGTTTATCACCTGCAGACAGACTTTTCGCGGTCGAATAAACAATTGTACCGTGTGAAACAGTTGCTGACCTGGGTGGTTTAAATTAACTGCCAAGTGAGGACCTCTGTGTCCTGTCCGCTGTTTAGTTAATGGCCAGAGAGGTCGCCCTTGGTGTGGTCTCCGAGTGTGTGGGGTCGAATGTGAGGTGTGAGGATGTCGACGGTGACCCAGTAGGATTAAATAAGTCTGTGCATTCGTGAAAAAGTTATGGAAAGGGGTAAAACATCGAGCTTTTGGATTTGAGGAATCTCTGTTACCTTAAGGTTACGTGGAGGTAAGGTACAGGTATGCGCGTATGCACTTATACGGGTTGGCAGTGTATTTCTCGGCAAGTAAGCTTGTGAAGTTCTGAGTAAGTTCCAAGGTGATGGGTAATTATGGTACTCATCAAGTTAGGACCACCATTTGAGTGCACTATGATTTGTTTACTTAGCTGTACTTAAGTGGGTTAATGTACAAAAGTTTGAACACGACCGAGACTCCTAGCGAGTCAATGTAACCTGAGATATTTGTGCATGTGCTGCTGCATTCCACCATCTCATCAATCACTTTGGTGGAGCGAGCGGGTAAGCGGCGAATGTGCCTTTTGTGGTGATGTTTGCGTTGAAGCTTCCGAGATGGTTGTTTAGGTTACCGTAAGAGTAGTGGGAACGCAAGCGCTTGATGCATAAACATGAGTTTGGTGTGATTGCAGACTGAAGAGGTCGGCAGCGGCGGAAGTCGGCGCTATAGTTGCACGATTCAACTGGGAAACTCTGGAAAACACCCTTGTTTAACTGGGCTCGATCAGACTCGACATTTGTGGAGCGAGGGCGTCAATCAGTTGATGTGTATGTGGATTTACGCAGCTGAATCGGCGTGAATCGTATTTCGAAGGAACCCCGCGGTGTCGACAGCTGTTGCTGGTGGGATTCGCGCATCGCCAAACCGCCATCGTGCACATGCTGTCCGTCTGGCTGGGTCCCGTTGAGTTCATTGGCCTCAATAGGGTGTGTTTGCTCGGAACACCCTGAAGAAGAAGATTTATGTGTTCAATGGATGTAAACTTAAGAAGGGTCTACCGTAGTCGGGAGGATGTCTGTCATCATAGGTGTCTTATCAAACTACTGAATTACGGTATCGCCGACGGATCTGCGTATCCGCCGCTTCGGCTGATCCGCATCGGAAGTGTGTTTTATCGACGATGGATAAGTCGTGGCGGCGGCGCGTGCCGTCAGATATGGTTGTCGTGATTTACAGAGAGCCTGCGACAGCCGAATCGGGACACATATCGTGGCGCTCGCCGCTCGTGTGTGTGTCGATGTCGCTCTTATTGGATGTTTATCACTGAACGTAGTGACACGTGTATGACGTTAAATCATAATGCTGAGCCAGTTGTCGGAGAACTGTAGTCGGCCCGCCGATACCTTTTGAGCTCACCGCAGCGCTAAAGGAGTTTCTGTTGAATTTGAAGTTCCGCCTATGACTCACTACCCTAGACAGACTCCCACCGATTGACATGGTTGTTCTGATCGAACACAGATGTCGATTCTATTCATATGGTTCCATAATGAGGAGTTTGTGACGGGTCTGAGGTGACAGGCGTTCGTCCAGCACCGTCACAGAACTCATCACCTTGTTGTTGAATGGCAAACAGACAGTTAAACAATTCGAAATGAGAAGGGATGAGGTTGGGGCTTCATTCGGAAGAAGCCTACGATTTCGAAATCTTCAACATACGGTAGTTCTTATGCTCTCCGCTGGTATAACTGCCGTCGTGCGCTTTTCTTTGTTGGCTTGAACGTAATTGGCTTGTGCGCCTCTTTTTCGCTATTTACCAATCGAACGACGGCGTTTTTCGTCGTTAGGTTAGGTCGAGCAGAGCGCTGCGTTACGCAACGTGTGGTCAGTGGCGCTGTGAGGTCACCGTCCAACAAAGACTTGTGCTATCTGGTACGATAAGGATCACAGATGGTGGTGGTGGTGGTAGGGGTGGAGGTGGATTAGGTGCTAAGCATCTATCGGTGCGCTTTGGTCCTCTTGAATGATCAGGATACTGTACAGCTTAGAAAATTCTGGACGCTGGAACATTTGAAACTGTTTCCGGGATAAATGATGCGCATGTACGATGATGATGTGGCGTCGATCATTATTTATCAAGACATGTCAGCATAGCTTCACATTAGGCATGAGGTTCGCTATTAATGAGGTACTGTCTGCGTTTCCGCGAAGGATTTGAAATTAAGGGAGGCGAGGAAGAGACGTGCAGTGAAAGGAGGACCCGTCTCCCTCCAAATTAAGCTGACAGGGAGGGTGTCGATAATAAGGCAAAAGCTGTCAATCTAGAAAAAATGTTCGCGTTTGTTCTGCGTAAACGGGTCTTTCGTTATGGATTGGTTATATGTTGCGATACCGGCCAAGATACGATCTTTGCTCAATGCAACAGCTAGCTGCTACGTCACCGATTCGTCGTCGTAGTCATGATTGTTGCGGAAACCTAACGACGGACACTTTTGAACTGAAGTTCATGCAGAATAATCAATGTGTACAATTTTCAGGTCACAAGTTGGCTACGTTGTTCCCGTCGATCCAGTGTTGTTTGGCACTGATGTTCGCAGCTGAGCGATATGCTGACGCGAAATTGAGAGCAGACACGGAGAACATCATTGGAAGCACATTTCATCTACAAATGGTGAGATTTACTCTTTGTCTTCACAACACTGAAATATACCCCTAATCTTTGCCATCAACCCTATCAGTTCAAAAAATTTAAATGGTGTCTTTCAGAATCTGCTTCGATCCTACATAACGATGTTGGAGCGAGTAGTAAGCGACTGCGGTGTGTCACAGCGACAGTCTGCAATGGTTGCACCAGGCGAGGCCGAGCTGCTGGCGCAAGGCGCCTGTGGCGCGAGATCGTCATCAGAGCCGGCCACACCGCATAATGATTCTGGGTTTTGTTCTGGAGTGAGCTCACCGGAATCGTGCGGTAAAAAGGATCTCGAATGCTCGCCGCCGAAAATGGCTAGAATGGCCTGAGCGAAAGGAAATAATCCTCCGTTAGTGGGTGATTTTCATGCTGTCATTCATTCATATCTATCCATTCGTTCGACGATCAGTCATCATATTGCTTTCATCATTTCACATCAAATTCGACGCTATTCTAGCCCCTGAAAACTAATTTCATCATGTTCTTCATATATTATCCTCTTCTGAAACGTAAACATTGAACGAGTATGTTACTGCTTTTCCTTTTTTTTGTTTAATTTATTATTTCACATAGCTGGCTTAATATAGCCATTGCGGGTTGTTGTATTCCCATTTCATCCTCTTCATTTTATTTAAGTTATCAATCGATGCAATTTTTCATTCGGAAGCTTTTTCATTCTGTCAACAATTTGTACTACTACCACGCCGCTTTGCTCTGCTTTTTTTGCCTTTGTTGTACCTTAGTGGTGAATTTTCCATTTTATCATCTTGTACCATGCGCCAACCATATTATTCCGCACTTTTTCGCCGTGGTTTGTAGTAGCGCACAGCTTGATCAGATATCATTTCGCTATTTTCGATTTTCGCTTTTCCGGTGTTTCTTTATGTGTGTGTATCTTTCTATTGGCCAAATAACTTCTTGGTTCCTTACTCGTTGTCGTCGCTAAGTCGTAGGTAGTGCATGGCTCGACGCTCATGTTCACACTATGTCGTCTCCAATCGCGAGTTGACAAGAAAGCGAGCGACGAGCGTCATGGAGCGATGTCACTGCCATACGAGTAGCTTGTGATTAGTCAAAGATTTTTCTTCTGTGTGTGTTTGTGTATGTGTCGAAGTTTGCGCGTAATTGCCACTTTTCGCCAGCTTTGTCGTGGGTAGTTGCGGCGTCGCGATGTCGCACGCGACTAGGCGAGCGACAATACGCGACAATGCTTCATTGTAAATAGGTGAATCCGTTTTACTCGACGACGAATTCAATCCCACGAGAATTCGTATTCGCATCGTGACTGCCGGCAGACATTGGGACAGTATTGCGTGTGTGTATGTGTTTTCTTCTGTAGGCACTGGTAGTCATGCCTTTCTCGTCAGCGTATTAATCACCTTTTGTTCTTACTACGATTGTTTTATTTTATTAACTTCGTCAATAAACGTGTACTAATTATAATTTTTGTGAAAGAGGCTTGCAGAGTGGAATGGTGTGAAATCCGCTATTGTGTCCTGAAGCCGGGCAAGGTCAAGCGCCTCTTGTATCGAAGGCACCATATTTTTGTTTATTGGGTTGGCGATGACGGAAAAGAGGTCGTGTTTGGAGTTTTTAGAAGAGATCATGCAGGTGAAGATCTGCTTGAAGAGTGAGGGGGTCGTCGTCAAAGTATTATTTTCGACGGTTTTTTTTCGGCTTGATTAGGCCGGTGTCAGAGTCCGCGATTCGTCGCAGGTTTCGCGCGACGGATCACAGAAATCACAAGTGCCCGATGATACTGCAAGGTGCTCTCCAATCCCGCCGCCATTTCTGCTTGATGGTGATGGCTGAATGACGACTGTTCATGATTCTACTTGTTTCATATTCAGTGTTTCAAATGTTCAAATGGGGCACTTGCGATTTT